TTCCTAAGCTTTTCTGCTTCACTTTTAACAGTTTGAGTGGGTGTAACAGAATTATAAATATGTCTTGAAGTTTAAACAACTTCTGTTATGATCTGTCATGTTATTGTTTGACTATGATATTTTATAAAAGTCTAAGAAAACTAAAGTAAAAAATAATGTGCAAATAAGTTGCATGGAGTAACTGAAATATATGTGAATATCTGAACATTGCTTTTTATTCTCCCTCTTCCACAGTCCTCATCAATGACACTCAGCAAAACTTCTTTTCTTCGTCGTGGGATTGTTTACTCAGAACAGTGTCAATGGTCACTGGCAATCTGTGACTTTGAAAGTGTTGTAGCTTTGGATAAGTGACTGGAATTACAAATTTTTAATACATGCCGTTTATATTCTGATTGCCTGGGAGCAGGAAGGTACTAATAAAGAAAAATAGAATCAGAACTGTTATTCAGCAAATAGACTGAAATTAAACCACACAAAACCATAATGTTTTCTTTTAGTATCTTTTGTCCACTTACTACAATCTGAGTATAATAAAAATAATTATTAATGTATTTCAAAATTAAATTTTATTTTGCCTTACATGTCAACTTGGAAAATAAATTATTCAGTTTTAGCATACAAAGGATGAAGCTGAAGTCCTAATTAAAGTTGACTACTCATGCCATAACAATTTCATGTCTTCTTGGAAGGAATCTGTACACAATGCAGGTAAAAAGTCAAGCTTTGTTTTGTTTTGTTTTGTGTTTTCTCCCTGAAAAGCAATGGCACAGTGATTTCTTTAGCAAAAATTAGCAAGTGGCGTCCTTGAAAAAAGAAGGCTGTTTGTGGCCCTTGATAGTTGGTGACTGAAGCTGATATGATTTCTCAGAATTGCATTTCTTCCGACCACTTAAAAATGCTTCAGAAACAGATTATATCTGTAGCAGTGATGCCATGCAAATAGCCTTAAAATATGCAACAAGCATCAGATACCAGTTAGCTGCATTAATTACCCTACTCTAGAAGTACTGAGCTCTCATTCAGTCTCAGCCAACCTCAACAGTTCTGTCTTGAGCAAAGGCTTCCATTCCAATTTATGGCAGGCCTAAAGATCCCTCAGCTCTTCCTTTGTCTTGGTTGTGCTATAGGCATCTTGAATTTTGCAAGAGTGGGCTGCACAAAATATTGCAGATCTTGGAAACACAGTTCTTCCTAGCATCTAGCCAAGTGAAATGACAAAAAATAAAGGAGCAGGCTAGATGGAAAATGCATAAGCTCTGTCAGTCTTTTAAAACTTCAGTGTGTTTTTAGTGTTGAAAAATTCAGTATTTCTCTGTGTATTCAAGTATATACATGTACGTATATCTCTGTGTATTCAAGTATATACAAAATTAGCTCTACAAAATTAGCTCTATTTCTAGCCGAGCTTCCATGGCAGCGACTTGTCATCATTTCTTCAAAATTGACATTTGGACTACTGGTTTTGGTGATCAGAAAGCCTCCAGTGTCCAGCCAAACATCACAAGCTACTGAAATTAAGTCTTTAATCATCTTATCTCTTACACTGGCAGTTAAAATTCTGTAGCTCAGTGTGATCACAAAATAGATGTGTGGAAAATGTCATAAAGCAGGTGAAGCATGAAATGACAAATTTCATGCAATAACAAAAGGAAAAAAAATCTGGTTTCAGCTCTTTCACCTTTGCTTACCTAAATATCGGTTTGATACTACTGTTGCATCTCAATCGATGCCATGAAGCTATTCAACAGTTACTAATGTCAACAAAATAGATCCTCTCAATGTGTAGGCCTATGTATGCAGAGCACAAGCATATCATAAGGTAATATGTTTCATTTGCTTCTGTTTGTCACTTAAAGTAGCTTTATTTATATTTATGGTTGTGAGTATTTTAATACCTGTGCCTTGGTGTTATGCAGATGTTAGAACCTGCTTATAGCTATAGTTTCAAATAGTCCTCAATACCATAATAGAATCACATACATTGCAATTGTGAAATATTGTTGGCATGTAATGCAATGACAAAAAATACTTTGTCATTTTTATATTTTCTAAATCTGTGTACACATAATCTGAGCTGTAATAATTTTTTTGAAATATATTTTCTAACTATTAAAAAAAAATATTATTTAAATATCTCCTCCAACCTATTTTGAAGTACGTTTTCTAAACAGAATTTTCTTGAGAATAGTAATTTTTCTGGAAACTCAAATTTTCAGTATTTTAATTTAATGTAAACCAGCATGTATTCTACTTGAAAATATTTTCTGTTAGCAGTTGTTCTTTTGGGACACTCTCAGGAGTACCAGGAATGGAGTATTCAGTGTGATCTGATTTGTGTAGATTTCATTTGCAGAAGCCAGACAACTGTCTCATAGTGCCTAGTTTGTTTTCAGAATGTTTTGATAAGTTGCTTGCACTGTTCATTTTCTTCCACAGCTAAAGGAAATGGCTTCTAACTCAGAGTCCATCTTTGTGGATTGATGATATTATTTTTTTTTGGTTGTGTGTGAACTTGTGCCTGATAATCTATATTGGAGTCCATCCACTAATGATCAGGTTGATTTGTAGGGTTGTTCTTTCTTTGGGGATTTTATTTTTTTTGGCTTTTTATTTATTTATTTTTTAAATTTCAATGTAAAGAAGGAAAATAAAAATAAACAGTAAACAAATACATTTAATCAATGCTGTTCTTCAATGAGAGTTTGAGTTAGCAGCTATCCCAACTGGATGAATTAGCCTTTGGAATCTTTAATGACCTCTTTTCTCCTCAGCATCTGAAGTACGCTGAATGGGACCACATGCACAGGCACCTGAAAAATAAATGCGAAGTCATTACAGAAGTGAAGATTTATCGGGACATACTTGCATGACCTAATCTCATTCCCAAAAGTCTGAAGTTTTCTTTAGGTTCTGGAAAAGTAAAGAAACTGTCTCGAGTTTGGATCTGCCTTGTGGAAGAGTATGGAAATATGTAGGGTAAATGTTTCAGACCTTTATCAAAAACATGAGCTCCTTTACAGAGGCCGTATGTGCCTTGTGAGTTGCTACCATGAGGACATTACATCCTTCAGAACTGCATTTACAGTAATAATAATTGTGTCTGCAAATTGTATTCATATTAGCAATTAAATTGCTGTTTTTTTCTTTATGAATTACAGATACATAATTTTTCAAATGTTTCGAACGATATAAACTGAGCCATTCATCTTTATCCAAATAAATCACAACTTTGCATATTAAGGTAGGGAAACAATTGCTTGAGAACTTCACAGAGGTCTCACTTTAAAAAAAATAATCTGGAATGCTATTGGTGGATACTCCTGTATTGTTTGAAACCTGCTCTGAATGGGTTAAAAAAACTGTAGTATTTTCATAGTGCTTTCAAACCTGAAGAACTTTATCTGTATTTATTTATTTTTCTGTATTTTTACACAACTATTGTAATTGCTGTCTTGGAGGAAGGAATCATATTTCACATACGGGGTTCTGCTCATTGAGGCACATGTAGTTTCGTGGGGAAAGGAAGTAAATAGCCATGACAAAAAAGCAAGTCTGAACTTTTAAAAATATAATAATTTTTAGTGTTTTCCCCAAGTGGATGGGTCCTTCACTGTTTTGTCTGCAGAATACACATAATGCAAAGAATGTGAAGGACAGAGTTCAGGGCAGTTTAGATTTGAACTATTCTTCCTCATCTTCAGCCCAGTGAGTAGTGACTTTTACAAAGGTAAAAATAAATTACTAGATAAAGCTGTTTCCTTCCCTGAAAAGGTGTAGGAACTAAGGAGGTAATGCTGAATATTACTCATCATCTGTGTTAGGAGAATTAGTTACTATGTTCCAGTCAATAATACTGTATTTCTCAAATTTTAAGAGTGGGTTTGCTCAGCTTGTCTCTCAGAATGTGGCTAGCATGACCTTGTATACTGATGCCGATACCAGAAAAGGCAAAAAAGTGTCCTTGAAAACAGAATGTATCTATCAGCTCTCAGTCTGTAGTGGATTTTAGAAATAGTATAAATATTACTGGTGCAGTTCTTGAGATTTTAAGGATTACTGTATGTGGACTACAAAGAAAAGGAATTTTTTAACTCCTACAGTTTGAAGAGAGGTAAGCATATAATTCCTTGGTACTGTGATGTGAGAGAAAAAATTAAAAATTGTTTTTTGGTTGTTTGTGTTTTTTTTGGGGTTTTTTCCTTTTTACCTCTTTATACTAGTGAAAGCTTATTTCACTAGCATTTGCACTTTGAAAGAAATGCCTGGAAATAGTTTTACTGATTACATTCAGCAAAAATTCTCCCCATTACAGGAGATAGTATATAATGGAATTGAAGAAATATCAGCTGGCAAGTTTATGCATTCATCAACTTGCAGAAATGCATGAAGGTAACATCAATTTCTATCCATTTTCCTAGACAGTTGCGAACCATGGCAATTTTTTATAAGGACTTGTAAAAAAAAAATTTCAGGCATGCAAATAGGTTAGTTACCATGGATCAGCTGAAATACAGGAACTTATTATCTATTTTTTTGCATGTCTGAAGCCTTTGAAATATAATAGTGCTGTACACTTTTGCCTGTCTTGTCACCTGAGATTTCAGAATTTCCTTTATCTTTTGAATTCTGTTTTTTTATTTCTTACTTTTAATATTGGTAATTTCTGCTTTAAAGGAATACTGAGTAAGGATCCTGTTCTGTACTTATGTGCAGTCTTTTCTAACAAAATATCACATATCTTTAGAACTGAACTTTCCCAGTGCACTTGAACAGTAAAAATGTTGCAGTATAGTAGTTCCTTGTTATGTGCTGGGCATAAAATGTTAGTGTTCAGTGTGTCCTGAAGCTCTTGGTGAATCCATATGAATAGCCATACTGTACGAGATTAATTTCCTGTCTCTGGTAGTAACCAAGAGTGGGTACGCAGAGCACAATATAAAACCAAGCAGACATATGGTGATACTTCCACAGAGCAAAGCCTTCTCAGATGTGGGGAAATGAAGGTAAATATTTGCAGATGTTTAGCAATCAAACTGTGCTTATTGATAAATAACTTCAAACTTTTGCAGAAATTTAGTTTGCATTTGTTGTCTTATGGATGTTAAAACAAGCCTTGATACTCCAGATGTTTTAATAGCATTTTAAAGTATCATTTAAATGTATTTTATACTGGAAAACATATGATGTAAAAGAAATGATTGTTTTTCATGATGGCTTCTTTCCAGAATCCTTTGCATCTCAGCATATTCCGCAAGCACTCCTTCAGTCATTTTGTCAAAATCACAAGAAGGCCATAGAGTGCTTACTTGAAGCTACTGGTACTCAACTTGAGCCTCCAGTGTTTGTTGTTTCAGGAAAAATACAAATGAAAGCCAAGAAAACTGAGGTTAGAAAAGTTTATATATATATATATGCCAAGCAAGACAATGTTTTTCTTTCTGTATTATTTTAATATTTTATGAAATGTGCTTGTATATTAACAAAACGCCAGAGAATCTAATTGATTAAATTATAAGATCTGAGTAAGAATTTTCAACAACCGCAGCATGCATCAAAAGAAGTATAACCAGCAGGTCAAAGAAGGTGATCTTGCCCCTTTGCTCTCATGAGATGTCACTTGGATTACTGTGTACAGTTCTGGGGTCCTCAACATAAAAAGGACATGGAACTGTTGGAACAAGTCCAGAGAAGGGCCACGAAGATGATCAGGGGACTGGAGCACCTCCTGTATGAAGACAGGGTGAGAAAGTTGGGGCTGTTCAGCCTGGAGAAGAGAAGGCTGAGTGGAGACCTCATAGCAGCCTTCCAGTATCTGAAGGGGGGCTACAGGGATCCTGGGAAGGGACTATTCATTAGTGACTGTAGTGATAAGACAAGGGGTAATGGGTTAAAACTTAAACAGGGGAAGTTCAGGTTAGATATAAGGAAGAAGTTCATTACTGTTAGGGTGGTGAAACACTGGCAAAGTTTGCTCAAGGAGGTTGTGAATTCTCCATCCCTGGCAGTGTTCAAGGACAAGTTGGATGGAGTCTTGGGTGAAATGGTTTAGTGTCAGGTGTCCCTGACCGTGGCAGGGGGGGTTGGAACTAGATGATCTTAAGGTCCTTTCCAACCCTAACTATTCTATAATTCTATGATTTGAGCTAATCAATTAAAAGGTACAGTTACGTAGATTGAGATCCATTATATATCATAATTTTGCTTCTTTTGAAATAAAATAATGCAGAAGTATGCCTAGCATTTTTGTCTAATAAAATGCAGTACAAAAGTTTGATTCTAGTTTGTGATTGTATAGTTAGTTATAGTTATTTTCTGAACTTCATGACTATTAATATGTCATAAAGCAGTATGTGCCTGTGGGCACTGGTATTTCAGACTGATATCTTTAAACAAATACTTCATCTTGAAAGACTCACTTAAGAAAAAAGTGCTATAATTCTTTTACCTAAATAACAGTATAAATGAACTGTACATTATTTCTAGATCATGTACCTTAGCTACTTTGTCATATATAAGCAAACCTCAGAAACATTTATGGTTTTCTAGTCAGTTATTAATATGAACCATTCAGAGATCAGGAAACTGTCTAACTCCAGCAACACAAGAACAATAGATTAATAGTTTTACCATGATGTTCCAAGGAAAGACTAAGAAAAAGCTGTTTTCAGTAATTCAAAATGTCTAGCAAACCTTGTAGGTTTTCTGTTAAGTGCTTTATAACTACTAATACTCTCTGTTTTGCAGGATGCTGAGATAAGTTTTAAAAAAGCTATGAAGCTCCTGAAGACCTCAGCAAAAAAACTGCCTAATACATTTGAGGCTGCAGAAATGTATAATTTCACAGGTCTGTGCTACATGGAGCAAAAAAGATTATTATGGGTTAGTATTAATGATGTAGAATATATTAGCCTTTAACTCCACTGCTGTCAAAATTGTCAGAAATATCTAATACAGCAATACATGACAATTGCAAATGGTGTTTTTCTGTGTTAATGTACATTGATATTACAGCTCTAGATCCTGGAAAAGCCTGTGATTTTGTAAACTAATGTACAATGTAGAGGAAGGAACTATCTGGATGTATTTCAAAGGAGTTGCAATCTAGCCATATTAATCCATTATCCATTCTAAAAAACAATTTCAGTATTTCAGCTCTTAGAGACAGAAGACCATGTGCTTGGTTAAAATTTTTCAGTCTCACTGCAGAAATGAGATGAATTAAATGAATTAGATTGTGCCTCCATGAAGTCATGATTGCACTAGTTGTTAACTAATTGCTAAACATTACAAAATTTTAAATAGCAGTAGATGGATGAAAGTAATAAGAAACAATGCAGGTAGATGGTGGGTTCCAGCTGCAATGATAGGTCACACCTAGCTGTGCAAAAGAATCAGCTGGGCTGTGGTTTCAGCTGAACAAACAGACCATATTTAACCCAGACAATATTTCATCCTTTTAGGCCTGTGATGCTTTTAGTATGGCTATCAGACTACATTCAAGCTACCCTGATGCTTGTTATCAGCGAGGGCTGTGTAGAATGCAGCTTGGACAAGCTAAGTGCACCCAAGACTTCAATCAAGCACTTGCTCATTGTCCATCACATTTCCAGGTAATATAAAGATTCATGGTTGTGTGAGGCATTTTTAATGGGCTCAAAGACTGTCAGGTTTTGCATTTATGAGTGTATTGTCTTGTAATCTGCTATGAAGCAGAAGGCAAGCATTAAATAATTTACAAGCTTTGTAAGATGTATGTTTTTATAAACTTGTAATTTCTGTCTTCTATTTAACCCTTGCTTTATAATGCTAAGTAAATCTAGTTTTTTAGCATGTCGTCATTCTGTCTTCATTTCTACAGGCATATATGAGTTGTGCTGCTTACTGTGGAAGTAAAAGTAGATACTCTAAGGCAATTCTGAATTGCGATGAGGTGATCAAAATTCTTCCTAATAGTGTGCAAGCTTATTTTTACCGAGGAACTTTAAAATGTCAAAATAAGGTGGGACTGTCCTTTATTGTTGTACTTCGAAATTCTCCCTTAAAGCTTGGCATTTCTGAATGGTGAAGTAATGGTAAAAGTATTGCTGATAGAAACCAGGAATCCCACTTAATTATTATACTTTCCATTCCCCACTGAAGCTTCTCTCTGATTTTTCTGTGTAACTGAACATGCTTGATGGGTTAGAGAAGCTATTGAGCACCTTTCTGGTTATTCTCGGATTCCATAGAATAGATTCTTAGTGATAGACAGAAGTACCAAAACTCCACAAAATATATGTTTAACATTAGGTAAAGATAAAATGTAAGCTAGTAAAATCAAAGATTGATTAGATGTTGTAGTATATGGATACAATGTGATAAAACACTAAGAATGTTTGTTTGCCTAGGCTTTGCACAAACAGAGCTTCTGAAGTGCTCCCACTGTAGTAAGAAATGCGGTAAGTAGTCCATAGATGTCATAGTGAAATGGTTGAATGCCTTCCAGTGTTCATGAAGAATCAAAATGTAAACCTATGAAATAAAATTTTACAATAGGCTATTATTTGAGGAAGAACATGTAGTGCTATGAACTCTGTGGTTCAGTGGTTTTTCATTTTCAGACATTTAAAGCTGCAATTGAAGACCTTTCAAAAACTATTGAGCTCAACAAAATCTATTTTGGCATATTATAACAGAGCTGTCTCTTATCAAATAAAGGACTTCAGAGAGGTATGGTATTAATTTTTTTTCAGGATTACATGAACACTTCATTGTTCATATTAGCAACTAACCTGTTATTAGCATAGTCAGAATTTCTGACCTCTTACAATGTCTTTCTGAATGGTTGTGCTCTTCAGGAAATTGTTTTTAAAAATGGCTTTTTGATCTCTACTATCATACACTTGATATCCTTTTGAAAATAAAAGAACTATATCCAGAAGCAGACTACATCAAAACAGGAATTTGGACCACATACAAGCCTTATTCACAACCCTGTTTTCCTGGATGTATTTTATACTTCTGTCAACTTACCTGTAAGCTATGTCTGAGTGTTTCTGATTTCTACTTTTATTGTAAAGCAAAGGCACAATAGGGCACAGCAAGGCACTGTGCATCTTCAGACCTGGGAACACAGTGATGCTGAACTGTCTTTTTGATGAGGCCTATTTTCAGAGACAATGCTAGTTCATAAGTATTTCAGCTCAAATGTCTCAAGTCAAATCAATCTTTTGCAAAGGCAATTTGTTCTTCGAGGTTAATTGGCAAAGAGTGATGAAGATGGGTAAATTAAAATAGGTGATTATAGTAACTGAAGGCAGAAGTTTAAATTGTGAAAATATTAGTTCCTTCATAAATAAGGTACTGTAAAATTTGGTGTCACTCTTCAGAAAAGCCACTTAAAGTTCAAAGAAACTTGCAGAAAAAAGCTACAGAAAAAAATATTAAATCTAACAGGCATGGGATTCTTAAAGCTGTTTGTAATACCTAGCTTAGTTTAGAAGTGAACTTCTCTTAAGTGGCTAGTATATGGAATACTACAGTCAAGGACATTTTTATCGTATTAGCTCTAAATTGTTTAGTTATTTGTAAATATAATATCCAAGTTTATTCTTCAGGTGAAAAAAAAAAATAAAAGAAAAAGATTTGTTCTCGAACTTCTTCAGATCAAGCATTGTTGAAATACTCTTCAGTTTTGCTAAATTTGAAAACTGAGGCTTCTTCAGTCTACCTGGTCATGTTGCTATTTGCTCTTTTAAAGAATTTACACTCAAATCTAGTTAATACAAGTAGAGCTTATATTTTTCATGCACAATAAATTATGTTTGAAGATACTTAATTTTAAAAGAGGGTTTTACTTTGACATTAATTCATGACTAATCAAGAATAAATTTGGTTTCTTTTTAGTAAGAATATGGACATAAAAATAGCAGTAGTAATTAGAATTTATTTATAACTCAATTTATATAATAACAAAATAAGTTTTAATTATGTCTATTTAATATATTAATTATATTATCTTTCTGTACTCTAGGAATGGGTATCTATGTGATTAAAGAAGGCTCAAATTCATATTTTCTTCATGTGATAGCAACTATTTCAGCATAGGCATTCAAAAAAATGAGTTATATTTTCTATTTGCAAATAAAAAATGAAGAATGAATATGAATCCCGTTTGAATGATCCAGAAATTTCCCATTGGAAGTGCCCAACAAAAGCTCTTTACAGTTGGTAGGCTTTGCAGAGAAATAAAATAATTAGAAATACTGTGTTGCTGGTTTCTTATGCTTCAAGATGCAGTTGATCAGAATAGTTCAGGAAAGAGGCTGAGTTGTTGCAAACCGATATGTTAAGGCCAGTAGAAAGAGACTGGGGCAGAACCAGCAGGATGAGCAAGAAGTTCCTTGAATAGATTGTAGTGAAAATAAGTTTACAAAATAGTAATTGGAAATCAGAGAAATACAGCACCTAATTCAATAAAAACATCAGTGATGTGCTTGAGAGCTTCTTATGTATCTATTCTGATAATTTATTGCAAGGAGTATATCCGTATACATGTATAGTACTGGCTGAATATATAAAGGGGGAGTGTCACGAGGATGGAGCCAGGCTCTTCTCAGTGGCAAACAATGATAGGACAAGGGGAAATGGGTACAAACTGGAACACAAGAGGTTCCACTTAAACTTGAGAAGAAACTTCTTCTCAGTGAGGGTGACAGAACACTGGAACAGGCTGCCCAGGGAGGTTGTGGAGTCTCCTTCTCTGGAGACATTCAAAACCCGCCTGGACACATTCCTGTGTAACCTTATCTAGGTGTTCCTGCTCCGGCAGGGGGATTGGACTAGATAATCTTTTGAGGTCCCTTCCAATCTCTAGCATACTGTGATACTGCGTGTGTGATACTACTTATAAGTATATTCCTGAATTGGATACACTGGAAGAAAAAGTTACAATGCAGTCTATGTAAGATCTGTATTGCTATATAGAGGTACCTGTTCCTCTTAATTCTGTGAAGTGTGTGACTCTGTGACTACCTGTAAGGATAGCACCTTTGGTTTAAGTAAAATAAACCTGGTCCTTAGAACTTTGATCCTGTTTTTGCACGGCTCCATGCACAGAGGAGAGTGTATACTCCAAATTGTACACATGAAGAATTCCATTACCTTTGCTGGGTATACTTTGAAAGGCTTTGTTGTATGGCACATTGTGTCTCAGTATTTTTTCAAAAACAAAGCTATAATTTTATGATAGCAACTTCACAAAAATAGGATTTCTACTTTTAAAAATATAAATATATATATATGTACATCATTATTTTGCTGCTTTTGTAATTCTAACACTACTAAAATATGCCATGTTTATTTTTACAATTTGAACAAGTGAAAAGTACTTTCTGAGTTGTAGTAGAGAAGTTGCATCAGCTAAACCACTCCTATTACATACTTCTGTCTTTCCTACGCAGAAGCCTGAAGCACTTCCTTACATAGTAATTGAAATGATTGTATTTGATTTTGAAAGCACTTGCACAGTTTTTAAAATTGAACCACATATATCAAAACCAAAGCATTTTGAAATATGTTCTGGATTTAAGTAAAAGGCAAAAGTTATGGCTAGAGTCTACCACTGCAAATATGAGTTTGGTTTATGGCATTTCTCAAAGTAAGACTGCAAAGTAACTAGGTAGTTTTATTACTTGAAGAATTCCATCAAAATTGTATATAGCAAAATATATTTTCAATATATACATATTTAATAATTGCAGCTGAGGCACAGGATTTTATTAAAAATAAACGAAAATACCTTTCCTGAAGGTTTTGTTTCTGGAAATGATGCCTGCAGTTTTGTAGAGAATACTGTGATACCACATAACTTTAGACATTTTATTCTATCAGTCTGGGACAAGAAGTATGAAAACAGACAAATACATCTCCAGTATTTCTGAACATATAATTTCTTTGTCAGAAGTCATCTCCCTTTTTATATGGAAGTATAAAACTTATAAAACTGTTCAGATGAAACCACATTTGTAGGTGAAATGAAGCAATATCATATTGCATGGTTTACTGTCTGCTCTTTTCAGGACTTTAAAGGAGCATCGTTGCTTGGTCCAGATGACAGCCAGATCTTTCAAATTCTTGGAATCTGCTATCATAGGTAAGATAGGTAGTTTTGTTTAATGGATAGTAAAAAAATGAAACAATCCCTGAGCTTTATATTCCTGTTCACCTTTTCATATCAAGTACACTGAGAACTTGGAGAGGGAAAAATGGTAAATATGAATAGAAAAAAAGAAAATGTGATTTTTATTTTTCAGGTTTAAAAACAGGCATTAAAATCTTCTGGTATCAAGCAACTATGTGCTTATGACAGTGCCAGGAGGAAATACTAGGATGATAAAATAAAACCAAGAGAAGGACTGAATAAAAGAATTCCAAGATAAACTAAGTTGGATTGATTTTTTCAGAATTAGTTAGGATGCAATTTCTATTTAAATATGCATTTTTGTCCTCTAAAGAAAAGCCAAAACCTTAATGTTTGTCCTCGCCTGAATTTTTTATTTGGAAATTGTAAAATGTAGTCTCATCAAGATGAATCCATTTATTTAGAAAGACTAAATTAAATCTGTTAATCACTTAAAATTTATATAAATTGGAAGAAGTAAGTTAGGCATTAATATTGTAGTCTACTTATCATAGTGGCACTTGGAGTTAATAGCTTCTATTTCACACAAGTATCACCTATGATAAAAAGGAAATCTTAATAGCTGTATAATATTAGTCTAATCTATTTTATTCTGCGGTTACTCAGCCTTCTAGTATTGCTTAACCTTGTTGCTGCTGAGGCAGTGGGGAGGTGGACATATTCAGGACTGTAACATTAAAACTTCCTGTGTACTATGTAGTTAAGGCATAACCAGCTCCATCTTTAACAGTGTCCAGATGATGTAGAACTTGCACAGGAATGGTGAATCCTGATTCTAAGAACTGAAGATATGATTTTTCGTGCCCATGTCTATTCATCTGTCAAAGGAGTCACTAGTAACTCTATAGCTCACCTGTATAACTCATTTTAAGATGCCTTTGGAATCTATCCTGAGGTCTCTAACAACATGACTACCTATCAACAGGGTTGGAATGAAGCCCTAATTTGTATTTGCAACAAGTGTGCTTTTAAAAAAGCTTCAGGTAGCTTATATTCAAACACTATCAGTATCAACTTGGTAAAACAATTTTTGTATTTTGACATGTTAAAGTTTATGCTTTGTGTGTAAAGATACTTACTAGTGTTCATTGACTTTTCAGGTATTTAATCTTTTTTATACCTACTCAGTATACCTCAATTGCATATTTAAGGATGGGGTTCCACATTTGGCTTACTCTTAGAGTAGAATGGTCTATGCTTAGAACTTTGAATATTATCTCTTTTTACTCCGTATGTTTATAATAGTTTGGATAAGTTAATGAATTGGTATGTGAAAAAGCAGAGAGAAGGCTTGTATTAGAAGTAAATTATTTATGGCTGAAACATCTATGCCTGAAGAGACGACTAAAACCATGTTTGGTAATAACATTTGGACAGCATGAATGATTCGGGTAAAGTATCTCTGAGTACAATTGTTGAGAAGATGAAATCTCGGCTCAGTTTTGCTGTTTTCCTCAGGCCAAGGAATTCAAACTGCAAGGTCTTAAACTGATAACTTTCACTGTTATAGCTATTAGTGAGCTCATACAGAATGCAAACTTAAGGAAAAAAAAAAGGCCTTTTCAGTCAGAATTAAACTACTTTTGAGTGGGGTGGTACTTGCTGATCATGCATAAATTGAGAGTTTTATTTACAAATTTCTTTTCAACAGCAAGCATCAATGTCTCTATTTTTAGTCTTCATGAGTCTGAAGAAGTTGTGACATCATTTGACCAGGTTCTCAAATTAGATCCTGTTTCTGTGGATGCCTGTGTTAGAAGAGGAAATTCGTACATGGAAAAAGGGGATGAAGCTAGTTGTAAGCAAGCACCGAAAGATTTCTTGAGAGCAGTTCACCTTAATCTAAAGCGTGTAAAAGCCAGAATTTGCTTAGGATACAACTTGAAGGTAACACACCATAATTCATTGTCAATGCTTTTTTAAAACAACAAACAAATCAGCAACCTTATATGCATAAATTTATACATAAAATAATAGTAATAAACATAAAATATGCAATTTAGACAAGCCTTGTGGCATCTTTTATTCTAAGTAAATTAATAAACCATTATTTCCTTTTCTCTTTTGTGCCCCGTCTTGGAGTTCTGCTTTCTAATAATGGAATATCAAGTAACCTTATACTTGTTTGGCTTGCAGATATGGTTCTCTGATAAAATTACATGAGGAACTGGGGTATTTTGTGTGTATGAGTAAAAAGCAGCCAAAGTGTCGATAAGTCAGTGTAAAACAAAACCTTGTATGTCCAAATTATCCAAACTGTTACGAAGTGATTTTAGCTGTTTTGCTAGAGGCCTTATATATATAATGATCTCTGAAAACTACTTACCTACATAGAAAATAAACAGCTGTATCAGCAAAGGGATATATGATGTGACTTGACAGTTTTTGTCCGTGTCTAATTTCTGTCCTTTAGTTACTGTGCTTTATTATATCCAGTTGTGTGAAATGTCTTGAATTGTCATGAATTCTGTTACAAATTATTTTTTTGCCAATGTAAAAAAGAGACTAATGCTTGTTAGCCTGTGTCAGGTAGTCTTGCATAGGTGTCATGCCCATTACCTTTTACAGCTTTGCCAGTTCATTTAAATTCTAACTAACGCTTTCACAATGCTTTTGGGAACTATTGTGCAAGATGAAAAACCTGGAATTGACTACATTCGTGAGTAGGTTAAGAATAAGATGTAGGTAGGAATTAGACATCTTAGCTGCACGATGCAACCCAGAAAGTTCACATAGTGGTACATGCTTAATTTCTGAGAGGTCTAAACCTCAGTGTTGTACCTACTGGGGCTTAAACATAGACACGTGAGGTATTTTGATGTGGGGAACTAGGTGAATTGCTTTTCACATTTTCTCAATTAATACATATATTAAGAAAATCTTTAAATTTTGCCTGTGGTCCCAAACGGACTACTTGCCCCGAATTAAGCACTTTTTGGAATGTGCTAAGTCCTCATAAGCTACAGTATACCCAAGTTCCATTTGACTATCCAGGGAAGGTACTTCAGCTGAACTTAATGGTTTAATTTTATTGCTATATGAATTCAAATATATAGGTCTTCAGATCACAAGCTCATATATAGCCCATGAAGAGCTGAATCTTGTGAGGGACATGAAGGTCAATAAGGCTTCTGCAGGTGCGTCAGTAGCAAAATGAAAATTAGGGACATGTGGCCCTAATGCTGAATGTGACTAGGGATGCAGTGATACAGGACATGCAGATATACTCAATGCCTTCTTCACCTTGGTCTTTATGAGTAAGGTTGTCTTTCAGGAATCCCAAGTCCCTGTGGCCAGTGGAAAAGTCCAGAGCAAGGAAGACTTACCCTTCGTGGGTATCAGGTTAGGGAACATTTAAACAAAGTGGACATACATAAATCCATGTGACATAATGGAATACACCTGCAGGTGTTAAGGAACTAGTCAACATCGCTGTGAGGCCACTCTCAATTACCTTTTGAAAGGTCATAGCAATTGATAGAGATTCCTGAAGAACGAAAGAAAGTAAATGTCACTCTTATCTTCAAGAATGGCAAGAAGGATGTGAGAAACTGTAGGAAGGTCAGCCTATTTGCTCATGAAGGGCGAAGGTGATTCGTAGTAGTCTGCATGAGTCTGTGAAGGAAAAAGCTTGCTTAATGAACCTAATAACCTTCTATGATGAGATAATTAGTCTGGTGAATGAAAGGGGAACAGTGAACATTGTTTATCTTGACTTTAGTAAAGCTTTCAATAGAATTCCATAAGGTCTTTGTAGAAAACCTGAAGTAAGGTCTAGATAAATAGAGAGTGAGGTGAAATGAAAACTGGTTGAATTATCAGTCTCAAAGGGTCATTATTTGTGCTATACAGTCCAGCTGGAGGCTAGTCACTAGTAAAGTACCCTTAGGGGTCAGTAATGGGTCCAATAGTGTTTAACATCTTAATGACCTAGGTGATGGAGTGCACCTTCAGCAATGGATGCCATCCAGAGGGACCTTGACACCCTTGAGAGGTGGGCCGATGTTAATCTCATGAAGTCCAATCAAGCCAAGTGCAAGGTCCTACACCTGGGCTGGGGCAATCCCAGGCACAGGTATAGGTCGGGCAGAGAAGAGATTCAGATCAGCCCTACAGAGACAGGCTTGGTGTTGGTTGATGAGTAACTGAACATGAGCCGGCAGTGTGATTGCAGCCCAGAAAGCCAACTCTATATAGGGCTGCATCAAAAGAAGCGTGACTAGCAGGTCAAAGAAGGTGATTCTGTCCCTTTACTCTGCTCTTGTAAGACCTCACATGGAGTACTGTGTGGAGTTCTGGTGTCCTTAACATAAGGACATGGAGCTGTTGGAGCAAGTCCAGAGGAGGGCCACAAGGATGACAAAGGAGCTCGAGCACCTCCCGTATCAAGACAGGTTGAAAAAGCTGTGGCTGCTGAGAGTGGAGAAGAGAAGGCTACATGGAGACCTCATAGCAGCCTTCCAGTATCTGAAGGGGGCCTACAAGGATGTGGGAGAGGGACTCTGAATCAGGGACTATAGTGACAGGACAAGGGGTAATGGGTTAGAACTTAAATAGGAAAACTTAGGTTAGATACAAGGAAGAAGTTCTTTACTGTGAGAATAGTGAGCCACTAGCACAGGTTGCTCAAGGAAGTTGTGAATGCGCCATCCCTGGCAGTGTTCAAGGCCAGGTTGGATGGAGTTTTGGGTGACATGGCGTGTGGTGTCCCTGCCTGTGGCAGGGGGATTGGAACTAGATAATCTTAAGGTCCATTGCAACCCTGACTATTCTGTGATTCTATGATTCTGTGTTTGCAAATGATACAAAACTGGGAGAAGTGGTTGATACACCAAATGGTTGTGCTGCCGTTTAGACGGTTGGCAGGTTGGACAGCCTAGAGGAATGCAGCCAGGAACTTCATGAAGTACAAGGGAAAGTGAAATGTTCTGCATGTAGGAAGGAATAACTTCATGCACCCCTACAAGCTGGGAGTTGACTGGCTTAAAAGCAGCTTTACAGAAAAGGACCTGGGGTCCTGATGGATAGCAAATTGAAGCTGTCAGTGATGTGCCCTTGCAGTCAAGAAGGCCAATGATACCTTGGTTGTTTTAAAAGCTACATCACCAGAAGGTTAAAGAAGACGATCCTTTTCTTCTACTCAAATGTGGTGAGGCCCCATCTGGAGTACTATCTCCATTTCTCTCCTATACAAGAGAGACATGAACGTATTGATGCTCACCAAGTGAAGGGCCACTAAGATGTTTAAGGGCTTGAAGCATCTGTCATATAAGGAGAAGGGAGAGGCTTAATAGGGAATCTTATAAATATCGAACAAAGTACAAGTAAAGTCAAGTTAGGCTTCTCTTACTGGTGCACAGTAACAGGACCAGAGTCAATGGGCACAGACCAAAAGGTGCTCAGTGACAGGAGTCAATGGGCACAAACTAAAATACAGGAAATTACATTTAAGTATCAGATTTTTTATCTCCTTCCTTCCTTCCTTCCTTCCTTCCTTCCTTCCTTCCTTCCTTCCTCCCTCCCTCCCTCCCCCCCTCCCTCCCTCCCTTCCTTCCTTCCTTCCTTCCTTCCTTCCTTCCTTCCTTCCTTCCCCCTTCCTTTCCTTCTTTCCCTCTTTCATAGTTAAACCCTGGAAAATATGCACAGAGGTTTTAGAATCTTTATCCTTGAAGATGTTAAGCATTTAATTGTACATGGTCCTGGGCAACCTACTCCAGCTGACTGCTTTGAGCAGGGGCTGGCCTAGACGGTCTCCAAAGATCCTTTCCAAACTCAACCATTTGGTGATTCTGTGATGTAGGATAGGTAATACATGCAGTTAAAGCAGTTGTGACAGATTAATGACATATTGCACAGTTAAGAAGATATTGAAAAAATAACAAGATATTTGATTTTTTTTCTTTTGTAATTCAGTCAACTAAGTTTGTAAATATAAGCATACTTCCATTCTCTGCTGTAGTTTAAGTGGGACCCTCAGTAAGTTTGTCTTTTCTTATTTTTCTTATTGTGGCTTCATTGCAATTCATTTTAGGCCCTTGGAAAGCTTCAGAGAGCATGAAACCAATTTACCGTTGCCATTTGCATTGATCGAAAATGCCATGCTGCATATGCTGGACGAGCTTCAGTCTGTCTTCAAAGGGGTGAAACTTTTGCTGCATCTCAAGATACAAGTACTGCACTAAAGGTAGGTGTTAGCTTAAATCAACCTGTTGCTATGAAGCCAGCCAATACTGTACATTAATAGTTGTCAATTGGGATTACAAGGTGCAATTATTATCTTTTTTTAAAAGTAAATTTATTTTTGAAAGCCAGAATAAATTACTATAGAAGTGTAAATTTTCCCTGAGTAAAAGGTCATCTACATTTCCTTTCAGCTCACTACCACTGCTGCACTGCTAACAAATAAGGGTGTCATCAATCAGTTAATGGAATATCTGCCCTGTGCCATGAAGGACTATCAACAAGCAATTTCTGCTTACCAAAACTATGCATTAGCCTATTTCAATGCAGCAAATATCTACTTCAATAATCAACATTTTTCACAAGTATGTCTACAGTCTGTCTCTATGCTGTCTTCAGATTTTTTTTCTTAAATAAATACTGATGGTACGAGGCTGTGTTTAAGTATCATTAACATGAAGCTTTCTTACTTTCAATTTCATAGTTCTCATGAATTAAACTGTAGTAACTAATAATAAATTATGTATTTTATCATTGGCATGAATGAACTGAGATTGATGACAGATAGGATACACATCACAAAAGTTCGTATATAATTGAGATACCAAAATCCCACTGATGTTCAGTAACTTCCCGCCAGCCTAACTCCCGTACATTAAATAATTTGTCCAGGTTTACTATAGCATCATGACAAGGTGAATGAAAAGAATCTCATGCTGATGAACTGGAATCAAGAAGTCAGATTTTCCTCCTGTTATCATAGTAACTTGTGAGTTTTAAATCACCTAGTTCTACTTACTTATGGTGGGTATCTTCAGATAGAGAAGATACTGAAATTCCTCTTGTGAGAGAATTTGAAATCTGCTTGAAGGCAAGGGCCATTTATTTTAATCCATATAGGAAAGCCCCTGCAATGATTTCTTCTTTTGTCTTCTAGTCACATTTCCTGGGCGTAGGCTCCGGCTTTTATTTGATTGGAGCTTTGCAGTCCAGTAGCTGTGGAAACCCAGAACCAGTATGGATGTTTCAGCACATTTCATCTAGTTGAATTAACTTTATCCTAAAGTTGCATCTGTAAACACTTCAGCCTGCAATTCACTTATTAAGGAATTCGTCGCATATAGTACAGGCATGACATACAATTTTGAACCTAGCTTGTACTTCATACAGCACCAGAAATAGATCATGTAAGAAAAAAATTAATATTCATACATGTTTCTCTGTTAAATTTTTTGTTGCTCTTATGCATTTGTTAGATCAGACATTCCTTAGGAACACATGATCAGTGCCCTGTATATGGTTTTTCTGTGATCTCTTAACCACCTGGTATCATTCTTCTATGACCGGCCTTGCATAGGCTGTTCTTCCTCTTTACTGTGTTTCTGTGACTCCTTATTGTCCCACAGAGGCTGTCTAATAATGGAGAAATTTGCTGTTGCATTATAAACATGTTAATTCAAATTGGCCTTATTGTATAGCTTATTTATTCCTGCTATAAGTACACTTTAGGATAAACAGCAGAAAGGAAGGAATAATCCCACAAGGGACTACTGAAAAAAATCACAAGTGATGAACAGAATAATTGTTCACCACCTGCTGATCAATACCCAACCCTTCCCTGAGCAGTAATTGGATCTTCTGACCAGCTCCCCACTGTTTATATAATGAGCATCATCTTCTGTGGTATGAAATAGCCCATTGGCAAGGTCGGGTCAGCTGTCCTGATTTGTGCCTCTCCTCACTGGCAGAACATGAGACTGAAAAAGTCCTTGATCAGGGTAAGCACTACTTAGCTACAACTAAAACATTGGTGTGTTATCATTATTTGCAGACTAAAGCCAAAACACAGCACTGCACCAGCTCCTATCAAGAAAATTAACTCTATCCCAGCCAAAACTAAGAACTAGAATGGCAAGTTGTACATAAACCATTTCCTCAATTTTTAACAGCATACTTTATCTTCAATTCACGTGTTTTGCAGGCTTATTGCTATTATTACATGTTATTAGAACTTGACACAAGAAATGAATCTGATGCTATAAATCATGCTATTACAAATACATTATTGAACAATATTGAAGAAGCAAAAGAAGACTTTGAGAAAGAAGTTTGTCTCTGCCATTCTCTGCAGCAGTGTATTTTAACAGGGCAAATTTCTATAGTGGATTAAAGCAATATGAACTAGCTGAGAAAGACATTTCAACAGGTAAATCTGTCATGATTATGTTTGGTAGCATACCAAATTATGATAATAAATTATTTGGCTTTCTTTTATGACTCAGAAAGTGTATGTGTATTTTTGCTAGTATATTCTCCACCTAATTTGATCAGCTATTATGATGTGATTAAAAAGAGAAAGTTAAAGTAAACATACCAATTATGTTTTTTTTCCCCCCATTTTCAAAATAGAAACAGTATATGAATTAGGAAATAAACTATTTCATACAATGTGTGTCATTAGCAGTTAAACAAAGCCCTATTCTGAATAAAATTTTGGCAAGAAGCTATGGGAAAATACTAGAGTTACCAAGTCTGAAAACTTTTTGTCAGTTTTTGTGTGTATGTGTTGAGATCTCTAGGTGCTTGGAAACTGGAATTGAAGTAGGTTATTTTATATATAAACATGAAATTTAATGAATGTGCTCTTTGTAGAACAAGTTTTGAAACAGTATTTGGCTTCCATAAGCTTTTCTGCTGAGAATATAGAAATGGTTCATAGAGAAGAGGAACTGAATCAGACATTCATCTTGAAATTAGTAAAACTCAAACTTTTGTTCAGTTTTGAAACACCTGATCTATACTGCTCTATTTCTTCTTTTGTCTTTGCTACTAACATGAAATTCAGCCCCTCTGGATACACAAACAAACTTCTTCCAGTAACTAAAACTATGTTTAGTTTGTATTGATTTTGTTGAAACAAAATTTTGTAATATGACCTTGGTTTGACAACACTTGATTAAACAGGTAATTGATTTAAAAAAAAAAAAAAAGTTCTCTCTAAAGCAGAATTTTAAAACAGCAGAGTAATCTTTCCATCAAGTTCAGAAACCCTTTTTACACAGTGGAGAAACTCAATAAGATACTGGGTTCATTGCCATGTTCCAGATGAATGGTGGTAGTTTTCTTCTCTAAGATTTTGCTTGTGTTTCAGAGGAAAGCATAGTTTCTGCTGTCGGGGCAAAATTAAAGCGAGAGTCATAAATGGCATCAGAAAGAGGAAAAAAATATCCAAGTATAAATAATATAACAACATTGCCTACATCTTGATGTAAAGTTAATGTGTGTAATATGTTTTCGCTTGTGAAAGCATCACTGGAGAAGAATTTGGACAATGACAAAAGTTTTGGGATGGTGTTTATAGTTATATGATAATGTTGTGTATTCGGTTTTGTTTGTTTTTTGTTTGGTTGGTTGGGGTTTTTTCTGGTATTTTTTTTAGGTTTTTTTTTTTTTTTGAAGAGACCTAACATTCTACTTCTCATTTTTACAGCCTTGTCTATTCAGCCTAATGATGCTTTGATGTATAAATTTAGAGCTGGTATTTGTAGTAAATTGGGTTTCAATAAAGAGGCTGTAGAAGACTACAAACAAGCAATCATCATTCAAGAACAGATTGATTCCATGTGAAAAACACCAGTTTTCATGCCACTTGGGTTCTATTTACAGATTTCTCAGACCTCTAATTAAAAAAATCCAACGCGCAAGAAACATTTATATCTTCATTGTCAGATATTCTACGCACATTTTATATTTCTAAATAATATAATTACATTGATTGTGCAAAACTAGCAGGAATTATTTAAGAATGAGAATGTTACATTTAATTTTTATGAGGTAGATGGTTATTTATTAGTGTCAAAGGATAACTGGATGCATACAAAAATGAAAGAGATAAGAGAAAATAGGGAAAAGGCCTCAACAGTACTAGTTATAGAAAGATAAGAGACTTCACTCTCACTTCTCCCAAATATAAATGCTTACAGTGGTGCTGATTATATGTCACCTGGTCCATTTGTGAAAAGTTCTAAGATAGGTACCAAATGCTTGTGACTGCTAAATAGGTCTCACTTTCTTCCTGATCTTCCTTCCATACCTTTTCATGAAATTTCCTGTTCGCTGTCATTCACATAGTAGGGGAAAGCTATTGTGCAAGGTCCATTAGCTGCAGTGCATGAGAACTACTCAGAACTGAAATTTGAGAAAGATGTGATTCAGTTTGTGAGTAAAAGACTGAGGTTACTTGCTGCTGCTTAAATATATTACAGTGTGCCATCTTGAAGAGACAGGTAAAAATGTATAAATAACAGATCATAGTTTTTGTGTTCTAAGTTGTAAGGATGGGTTTAAGAGCAGGCTCTTGCCTAGACACAGAGATTGAAATGTGACCAAAATTTAAAAATTTCCAGGCCCTACTCATGTACTCCCCAGTTTGGTTTAGTATGGTGGAGACAGCAAAAGGTTGAAGCAAAATAGATGTCTTTGTCTCAGGAAAGAGGAGAGAAGGAGGAATGTTAAGGTCTTTTTCAGCATGGAAAGCAGTCCTGTAGTTTCAGACATCAGAGAGATTTCTAAAGGCAGAAATGGCACATCAAGACATAATCCCAGCAGGACAGGAACTGAATGTGTGATTTCAGTTTAGGTTTAAATGGAAATTGTTACAAATTTTGCTCTTGAAAAAGAGCAAAAAAAAAAAAAAAGGTGAGAGAGACTTTCACAAAACTATAGGCTTTACACACACTGATATGAGCCTGTGATTGCATAGTGTTCTGTATGTACAGTAATCCCCAGATAGTAGAGAACAATCTAGAATAAAATCAAAATTACATAATCTAATTCATATAAAATCAGTATCAAAGAGTTACATTGGTCTATTTATGTGCTTTTTTTTGGTAGGAAAGCAAAAAATGTCATACCTTTGCCTCAAATAATTGTATTTTATTTTCTCTGGGTGTTTAACACATTGCTATATGCTGTTTGTGTAAAAATATCTGTTCTTGCATACCTATGCAGTGTCTCTTTAGCCAATATGATAGATGGTGACTGGAATACTAGCTTTGTTCTGTTATCTACATTTTTGCATTTATAATATCACATTACATTGTGGAAATTCCTATGCTTATCAGCTCAGAATATTTGGGTTGAAAAGAGTAGTACTGTGGAAAGGAAATTCCAAGTATCACAGCTAAGAACAGTTATCTCAGTAAAGCATTTGACACCATCCCTACTTTCCTTGACTATCTTCTTACCTTGTTTAATATCTAGCATGTTGAGACTTTACACTTTCAAGATCTGTAGTGATAAGATTGACTGGAATAGATGCATCATAGTTAACATGTATAAAAAATTTATAAGAAATTAAAAAAATCTACATTTAATTTTTCTTATTCATGATTAGTGTCTCTGTTTAAAATGAGTGTTTATAGATATAAACAATCCATTAAAGTCTTTCTAGACATTGTAGTATGTTGCATATTAATATTTCTTTCTAGTATTATACATTAGAGTGTTACTTACTAGAAACCTATTTGGAAAAACAGTTCTTCTTAAAATTAAATTAAAATCTGTGAACATGGGATTATCAAAAAAACAATTCAGCTTTTCTTTTCTCCAGTACTTTGAAACATGAATTGCTGAAATAGCTTTTAGAAATATTACTTTTACCACACTACAAGAACAAGAATCTGGTTGACTGCCACTTCACAATAGGAAGAAATTCTTTGTGACTATTACAAAACTCAAGAATCAGAATAGTTGTGTCAGATCTGATTAGGCCATTGTTAACTACATGTTTCTGTAAAGAGTTTGCTTTTGTGCCTTGACTGTTACGTTACTAAAAGTTAGTTTGTGAAGATCAAGATGATTTAATAAGTATTTGCTGCTTTCTCCCTCTTGTTCTATTTTCTTACTTATTTATCTTGTTTGGTTTTGTAGTATTATCGCCTCCCCAGGTGGATCAAGTGTAATGTACAAAATATAAATATACATGTGTCTGTATTTCCATGCATAATTATCACGGCTGTTCATGCAAATTGGGGAATTATTTACCTCAATTTCCTGTATGCACACAAAGTTGAAGTTTGCTTGCAAGATGGTGCTGGTAGTATTTTTGTTCTCTTTCTCATTTTCCTCTGCCTCTGCCAGTGCTCCTTTTTATTATCTGAAAAATTGTTTATTGCTGAAATTGATAAATTATGCATGATTCTATGGCCTTTTCCTTACTTTGACCTCCTTATGAATTACCTGCTGATGGGTTGTGCGATAGTGGTACCCTCGTCATGTACAGTGCATCATCAAACTTAAATCAGAATGAGGAGAAGTCAAACCTTGCCCCTGGATCCTTTTTTGATATTCACTGTAGATTTTCTTTAGTTTATCCGCTCTTGAGTGTCAAACAGAAATAGACACATAAAAGATTTTTATCTTTACATTTAAAACCAGAAAGTACATTCAATCAGTTATGACTCACTACTGATAGAGTGACAATTTAAATAATATGGGCTATTTTAATCTCTTCTGCTTGTAATTTTTTTTTTTTTTTTTTATTGTGGACAGTGTAGATCTAATTTTTTAATCCTTAAAAAATGACTATTTAATAATTCTGTGGTAGACTGTGTGGAGTTAAATTTTTAGAGCTTTTCATCTATTACACAATGCTTAGGAAACGGCTATTGTTCCATTGTATTTCCAATTCCATCATTTTGCATCACTCTCATTCACAAATTGGAGACCATGTTAGATGCTTTTTAAAGAAAATAGAAAGTGGATTGAGAATTTATTTGCACAACAGAACACGAGTCCTGGGTTCAGCAGCAGCAGTTTCAAGCTACATGAAAATTTCAAGCTACGCAATCAAAACTTACTGCATTATTTGAAAAATAATAATCTACTTCTTGTCTTCATTTCTTTCTTTTAAATTTCATTTCTGGCCTAAGATAAATTTTATATTTCCTAGAGGTTTTAAAATGTAATTTGAAATGTTTTGTATACTAGTACTTTTCATGTCCTTTTTAAAAGAAAAATAAATTTAAATTTATAAAGTGATTAATGACTCTAAGAATCATTGTTCCACTAATAAATTACAATTGTCTTTTGCAGGCTGAACAGTAGTATGTGAACTGCCCTGTTAGCTTAGTTGACTAAGGTAGTTTTGTGGCATTCTGAGTCTTGACCAACCCAGTATAGGACAGGTGTTAAACTCTCAGGTTA